GGGCGGGGGTCCCTCTGGGGGTGTGGGGGGGGGGGGGGGGGCGTCACGTCACAGAGGGATGAACCAACAAAGGGTCCCCCAGCAAGCTTAGGATGAGTGACTCTCTGAGGGATAGCTCGAAGTAAAAGTCAAATTGATTTAAGTTTATTTATGTATTTGTTTTTCTGAGAGAGAGAGAGAGAGAGAGAGAGAGAGACTTGGGGCCTCTGTGAACACTGCAGTCCACCCCGACTCAGCCAGCCAGGATCAGGGACACATGCACGTGCCCGGAGTGTGTAGGAATACCTCCGGACAGGAGCCAGGAACTGGCCCCTGTGACACTGGCCCAACTGACACGAGCTTTGCACAGCTGTGACTGGTCCCAATGGATTGTTTTGACTTTCATTTTGGAATATCACGGAACAACTTTCTCTCTACTCTGAGAGAAAAGTTCTTGTTCTGGATCACGTGACTGAAATAAAATAAAAGGTCCTATTTGCTTTTCTCTTTTCGTAGTGAGAGATATAATTCCCAGCCAGTTTCAGGGGTGAGATTCCTGTGCTGACATGGTGACCATGGGTCTGAGGGCAGCACAGAGGCAGGCAGCTAAGGGATTCAGGTTCAAGGCTGTGGGGGCACCTTACTGCATGTAGGAACTTTCCTTCAGCAAAATAGGAACCTGTTCCGCTCTGCTCAGCTAAAGCCCTCCCCTCTTTCCATATGCTGACCTAGGGTGGGGATCTCCCTCCTTCCTCTCTGCCTATGTATAAGGAACAGTCTGACCCTCTTCTCTAGGCGTTTTAGAATGCACCAGGAAGTGATCCTTTGTCATTTTGGAAGAAAGCACAACTCATGTCAAATGTTCCCTGCCTCAAACCTGCCTTGCCGTGTCTGAGTGGGAATGTGCCTGGGCGCATGCCAACAGGCCCCCAGACTTTGTCTCTTATGGTAGTGGTCTGCCGGGGAAGGCCTCCTGTAAACCTCATGGCCTGCCACAGCCACAGCCACACTCACCCTGCCCAGAATAAATCATCTCGTGATTGCATTTTATTGCCCTGGGGTCTGCAAAAACAATGATTTTGATCATTTGTTGAGTAAAGCATGACATTTATCATCGTGCTGTTTATTTTGCTAATTAAGAGATGGCTACAGTGATGGGGCCTGCAGCTGTGTGCTCACTCTCCAGCTACAGGGCCTGCAGCATGGGGAAATTGGGGCCCACATCCAGGGAGGCCTGGGAGCCGTTTTCTCACTGAAATCAGCCACAGGCGCCTGCCCAGTCCTGCTTGTTTCTTTGTTGAGTGTCTCCCCAGAAGTGGTTTTGCTGGTGCCCAGCCTGTAATCGGCACTCGACCGTCATCTGCTAAGTAAATGCACCTGCCTCTGTTTAAGGAGTGGGTGAAAAAGGTTAATATGAATTGATGCAGTTTCAATGATCTGAAGAATTCACTCAAGTGGACGACCTCATCCCCTGGTATTAGTGACTGCATATTTAATATACATGTTTTCTGACTGTGTCTGGGCCAGGCCTATGAGAAGTTCCAGGATCACAAGGAAAACAGCCCGAGGGCCCAGGCCACCCTAGTTCTTCAGCACCACAATCTCGTGCCCTGAAGCTGCTCCTCCAGGGATTCTCAGGCTTTCTGGGGATCTTTGTTGAGGATCAGGAC